CAACTGATTTAATTTTTGCTAACTATGAATGCCTAATATCTTGCAATTCCTTTGACAATTCTAATTTTCTATAGTTTGGCAAGCACATTCTATAAAAAACAATAGGAAAATAAACAATTTTCAGGAGTAAGTAGTAAAAGCTTCTAATTATGCCAAATCCAAATTTCTATTAATCATTTAAAAATTCCCTTGATAATTCAGTCGTTTCATGAAACAATGGCACCATACAAACAGTTATATTTGACGAATGTTTAATAACGGCGACATACGTTACCGCTAATAATTTTAATCGATGAAATGCAGCAAGATATTCGATCAATTTTTCAAAAACATGAAAATGTGAATTATTATAAAGTTTGATAAGCCGTATACAGAACTCGAGAGCGTGTTGTATCGGGGCTAAAGATCCTCGCCTTCGGCTCTATACAACACACTCTCTCGTTCTGTATACATTACATAGTACTGTTGTAATAATTTGGAAACATGAATAAATTAGTCAGTCACACAGTTAACCAGACATTATTGCTATCTTTTAGCTAACAGTAAACCAGACATTTTGCTTAAAATTAGTCAAATAGTAAACTAGACGCTTTGCCATCTAAATCAGACAGTAAACCAGACATTATTGCCGTCAAAGTCAACCTTAATGTATTCATGCCTGACATAATTTGAGAAAAGAGGGTCCAGTTCTGGACTAATGTTGCTGCTTCAGCCCTTGCCCTCACAGTCTTATAGGTATATTGTAGAGCACTACCTTAACATTTAAAGCTACTCAGCATTAACTTTGGAGGCATGTAATTTATTGGCTATTGTCATTCATAAATAATGAAAATGCTTGTGTGTAAAAAAATTAAATCCTAGTTAGTGTAGTGCAGGCTTTCTCTTATTTTTTTCATTATTAACTTGTCGTTACGATGGAGGGTAGGTGCCTAGAGCAAAGCAAGCGAAGACAAGCAATTGGCAAGGTGGTAACCATGGCAACCTAGCCACGGGTCAACCTCGGCACCTGTCACACTGTAAAACAGTGCAATTGAAACTACTTACCTTATTTGACCAGAGGAGGGTGGGTGGGGCAAAACCACCCAGCAATGCCAAGCTACAAAGTCGCAAGCGATAACAGCCACAAGGCAAACTAAAGGTGATTACGCATGCGCAAATCACACACCGCTGGCCAGCACTCCACTCAAGTTAACTTTGCTTAAACATTAACAACATTTAACAGTTTGAAATTAAGGACAGAGCTCTGCAAAAGCAAATATATTGAACCTCCTCCATACCTGAATCATGGCACCTTCACGGCGGCTACTGAACGCCAAGGTACTAAGCATTGAGAAAACCTTCCTAATTTGACTGAGAGTAAGGTTGTCCAAATAGTCTAAAATACCCTGTAAAGCAAACAAAATCCACATTTTGAGATACATGTAATTCCCTGCAGATCAGAGTTGTGACACCCTGCACTCTATCAGATACAAAAACCCTTCAATGAAGTGAAAACAGGTCTGTGTAGTAGAGATAGAAGAACATTCCAGGGTCTGTGCAGAAAATTAAAAAACAAATTTTTTTAACATTTTTAAAATGACTTTTCAAGGACAAAATTGTATTTTCAAGGAACATCATAATCATGCTAATGTACATTCTTAATACCTCATAGCTTCAGCCGAACGGAATAATTCAGAGATTGCTAGCGCTTCATAATAGAGATCTATCTTTTTCAAGGAGTTTTCATTACAATTTTTTCAAAATTTTCAAATTTTCAAGGAGTTTCAAGTGTCCTTGAAAACGAATTTCAAGAATTTAAGGACCTGCACGGACCCTGACATTCCGTTTTGTTTTCATTCATTCCCTCGTCCCAATTACCACCTCAATCTCGCCAATGCATAGGTGTTCAGTGGGCAAGATGGGCATTTATAGTTTTGACTATGATTCAGTGGATGAAGGAAATACCTTAATAAAGACAGCAAATGGAGCCATGACTTTAGGATGGGACTCTACAAGATCTGAYAGAACATCTAATGAAGCATCTGCTTCTCCAGCAAAGCCACTACCAATATGGGTGACTAGAGCTCNATCACACACAAGGAGTCTTTCACATAATTTATAGAAAAAACTCATGAATACATAATTTAAATGAGTTATAAGGCCTATAGAATGAGCCCATTTGGTCACATGCATGGACTTTTATATCTGATAAAACACTCTTAGTATTCTTTATATAGAATACTGAGGGGGACATGGGGGTTTGCGGTGTTGTGATGTTGGCCTTTTTTTTTTGTGCGGTGTTGTGATGAACGAAGTAAAAAGTTGCGGTGATGCGGTGTTGTAAAATCTTGCGATGTGCGGTGTTTACCTTATTTTACATGCGATATCCGGTGTTACAGGAAAAATTGCGGTGTTGCGAATTTGTTGATTTTCAATTCAGGTCATTCAGCAAAAATGTTAGACTCCTCGCAGCCGTTTTCCGGTGTCGTCTCCTTAAGGAGACAAAAATGTCTGCTTAGATAATATTTAACCATTGGTATGTTTAGTCTGTCACGATTGACAGGAAATGTTTAGCTATCTGTTATGTTTCCGATATACCACTAATATATAATCATGACAGACACGACAAACGTAATCTCCTGATTCAGCCAATCAGGACAATCAACAGCAGAACGTAACTATTGTATGCTTACTGCAACTTAACCTCTTGACCCCATCAAAGACGCTAAATAATATATTTTCAAGGAGAAGAACGAAGATTGAAGAGTGTTCGGTTCAACAACCGATATTTTGTCTTGAAGACACAAGGTACATAAGTTTGTTATTCTTAAAGTATACTGACTAGTAATGATTATGATTTAAACAATGTGTCAGTATCAAACGAACGACAAACCGAAGATACGTATCTATTTATCTAAAATTATCTAAAATTGCCTTTAAAGGTCATGTACCTAAATTTAATTTTTTATTCAAAATTTTGTACATCACGTGACTCTTTGAAAATTGCGGTGACAGTGTTACACAATTTTTTTTGTTGTGTTGCGGTGTGGACATACTTTTCTTTGCGGTGTTGCGGTGTTTGAGACCCCCCAATGTCCCCCTCAATACTAATAAGACTGAACTTTATCAGATATAAAGGTCCATAACCCTAGCAAAGGTGTCAGGTTTGATACCTGATCATTGACCAATGCAGGATGTCAACTGATTGCAGTAGACAGCCAACAGCAGTTCTATTTTACTTTATGCGTATTCAATGTGGGATGACAAGAGTGCTTTGTAAAGTGATTCACACATGATCAGTTTGTTCCATTTATCTCAAAACTTATTTTTAAAGCAATTTCTCCAAGAATAATTGAACTGATTTGAGTTTCAAATTATTGTTGAAGTTTTTGAAGCAGCTTAAAACACTTTCTTTTGTGTTTTAAAG